ATGAATACAAAGTTTCCCAAGCCATTCTGACCCTTTCACTCGTTATCCTCATTGTACCCTGGTCTCCATCCTCGTGCACGGCGGATCATTTTTTGTTGAAGTGTCCCTGTACTGTAATTCTCGCAGTCGAAGCGAAGAGGGCGTGCCATAAATGGCAGGCATATCACGCAAAATGCGTTGCGGAGGGTATTCTTCTGCATCCTATTGTAGAAGACGGCCAGCTGGCTTGCTGGAGCGTCACGGGGCGTCTCGCGCCATCCTCGGTGAAAAAGTCGTCCCTACTGTACTGTTCCCAGGTCAAGAGAGGCGGCACGCGCAGCTGTCACACGAAAGCAGATCGGCTCAGCAGGGGGAGCGCGCGAGGATGATTACCGCATGGTCGATTGGCAACCGTTTGAGGCGAAGTCGAGTCGACCCTCCTCCCCCGCAGGTCTGGATCCTCGCCAGGGGGTCCGTTCCGTTCCAGTGCAGGCGCACGTGGGCGTTTTTTCGAGTGCTCCTGCTCCTCCCACCCCTCTCCTCCTCCTCCTCCTCCTCCTCCTCCTCCTCCTCCTCCTCCTCCTCCTCCTCCTCCTCCTCCTCCTCCCCCTCCTCCTCCCTCCCCTCCCCTCCTCCTCCTCCTCCTCCTCTCCTCCTCCTCCTCCTCCTCCTCCTCCTCCTCCTCCTCCTCCTCCTCCCTCCCCCCCCTCCTCGCTCCTCGCTAGCCTTCCCAGCCCCCTCCGCCCTGCGTGTCTACATGCTCGTCCGGTCCCCCCCCCCCTCCGCCAGCACGGCGTAGCAGGGACCCTGAGCTCCTCCCCCCCCCCCCCCCCGGCGGCGAGCGTCCCGACGCTGGCGACGGTCGAAGCGCGACCTCCGCTGGTAAGTCAGCCATGTGGCCAGCTTCCTACCTGCTCCTCCCTCCCTCCCTCCTCCTCCCCCTCCTCCTCCCTCCCTCCTCCCTCCTCCCTCCTTCCCCTCTCCCCCCTCCCCCCCTCTCCCTCCTTTCCCCCTCCTCCCTCCCCCTACCCCCCCTGCCCTCCCCCTCCTCCTCCCTCCTCCTCCTCCTCCTCCTCCTCCTCCTCCTCCTGCCTCCTGCCCTCCTGCCTCCTCCCTCCTCCCTCCTCCTCCCTCCTCCTCCCTCCTCCTCCTCCTCCTCACTCCTCCTCCTCGCGGCGACGTCGCTCCTCCTCCTCCTCCTCCTCCTCCTCCTCTCCTCCGTGGCCTCAGGCGTAGGTGCTTGAGGCTGCATCGGTCGAGGTAGGTCGTATTTTGTCTTTTCCCAGGTTGCGCACTCCGTTGCGGGCCTTCAGTCAACGCTCAGTGGCGAGAGGGACCCCTCTCTGAAAGCCGATCGGGCTGATCGGGCCGAGCTTTTTTCCCAGCCTGCCGAAAGCGTTCGAACAGCTTTCCACTTCCCGCCTCCTCCGCCCAAGCCACCAATCCACAAACGGACCCTCGGACCTCTCCTGCCTGTTTCGCGTCTCGACCAGAATTCTGAGGGGAATCCAACCGTGGCCACGAGAAGCTTTTGGGAGCCCCCAGAAAATTCGGCATCGACCGAGTATCTCGATCTTCGAACCCTTGGTCCTCGAACCTCAGTCCTCGAGGACGATGGACGAGCCAGGCGAAGGCTATACACCTACGTCTCGCTCGTTTCACGACGCCGCCAATCCACCTCCCGCCTTCTCCCACCCGCACTCTTCAATGGGAGGCCGCCAGGATGAGGAGGAGGAGGAGGAGGAGGAGGAGGAGGAGGAGGAGGAGGAGGAGGAGGCCCGCGAGGGACTGCTCCTCACGGGCAGGTCCCGCCTCCCAGAGTCGCCCCTCACGGGCGAAAATCCCCACGGGCGTCGGCGCACTGGCACACCACGGGCGGTTGCTCGCCGCCAGGGCCGCGGGCCGCGACGGCCGTCGCCTCGGCGCGAGGGCGCGGGCTGGGCATCACCCCTCGAAGTCGGGGGATCGATCTGGGGGCCGCCCCGAACAGGGGCAGGTCCCGCTTCCCAGGGTTAGCCGCTCAGTCTTACCCGATACCGCTTCTGGCCGGCCCGATCCGAGTCGACTCCGCCCCCGTGAACAGGGGCAGGTCCCGCTCCCCAGGGTTAACCGATCAGTCTGACCCCCATACTGATTCTGGCTGGCCCGGTCCGAGTCGGTTCCGCCCCTGTGAACAGGAGCAGGGCCCGCTTCCCAGGGTTGATTGAGCAGTCTGACCCGACATCGCTTCTGGCTGGCCAGATCCGAGTCGACTCCGCCCGTGTGAACAGGGGCAGGTCCCGCTTACTAGGGTCAACCGATCAGTCTGACCCCATACCGATTCTGGCCGGCCCGCTCCGAGTCGACTCCGCCCCTGGTGAACAGGAGCAGGTCCTGTTGCGCAGGGTTAGCCGATCAGTCCGACCCGATACCGCTCCTGGCCGGCCCGATCCGAGTCGACTCCGCCCTGCTGAATAGGAGCAGGTCCTGCTGCGCAGGGTTACAGTCGGGGCCCTGAAGAAGGAACCCTGTTCGTTGGGGAGGGGCTCCGCGTTCCTTAAGTGTTTCACAGCTTGCCTTAGGTTCTCCTTAGGTTTTCGACGGGAAGTCAAACTTTAACTGATGGGAAAAAGGGGCCTCGTTGCTTATTTAGGGTTCCTTAGATCAAGGCCCCGACTGTAACCGATCAGTCTGACCCGATACCGCTCCTGGCTGGCCCGGTCCGAGTCGACTCCGATCTTCCGACGAGCCGCGCGGCCCCTTGGTTGCACGGCGCGCGGTCGTGCAGCCTGTCGTGGCCGGCCGGGTCCGACTCCAGCCTCCTCCTCCTCCTCCTCCTTTTCCTCCTTTTCCTCCTCCTCCTCCTCCTCCTTTTCCTCCTCCTCCTCCTCCTCGACACAGTTTTTTTTGTTTTTTGATCTGCAGGGCGAGAGCGAACCTCTTCCGCTGAAAGCTAAGCGGGACGCGAAAAAGCGTCCTCCTCGACACAGCCTCGGCGCAACCTAGGTCCCCCCCCTCCTCCTCCTCCTCCTCCCTCCTCCCTCCCCTCCTCCTCCTCCCTCCTCCTCCTCCTCCTCCTCCTCCTCCTCCTCTCCTCCTCCTCCTCCTCCTCCTCCCTCCCTCCTCCTCCTTCCTCCTCCTTCTCCTCCTCCTCCTCTCTTCCTCCTTCTTTTCCTCCTCCTCCTCCTCCTCCTCCTCCCCCTTCTTTTCTCCTCCTCCTCCTTCTCCCTCCGGGCCGAGGTGCCCTGATCTGGGCGCACGCTCCGCTCCGGTCCGCCGTCCGGACTCGAGGCCAGGCTGCTCCTGCCTCTCCTGCCTCGCGCGCTCCCGCCGGACGCCGCAGGGGCCAGGCGCGCCTGGGATCCAGGGCCTGCTCCCTCGCGTCGCGCGTCGGGGCGATCTCGGGGCCCAGGGAGGTCTGCAGACCACCCAGGGGGCGCCCCCCAGAGGGCCCAGGGGCTCCGGTTCCTCTCTCGCCGTCGCCGCCCCACAGGAGGGGCACCCGACGCCAGGGCGGGCCCAGGCACGCGACACCGAGGTGTCGAGCCGCGTCCCCGCCCCAAAAAAGAGCAGAGCCCGCCACCCTCCCCACCTCCCGAAGGAGAGGCGGCGCTCCGCCAGCCCCCCCCCCCGCGAGGGCCGGGGGGCTTGCTGGCCGCCCCATCGCGCGGCAGCAGGGGCCCCGCTTGCCGCAATGGACGCCCCAGCGGCCGCGGAGGCCTGCCAGGACCCGGCGGGCCCTTCGGCTCGCCGTCGCCGCCGCCGTCTCATTGTCGTCGCATTCGTCGTCGTCGCCGCCGTCGCCAGTCTCGTCGCCCGCAACGTCGCCCTCGGCGTGGTGGTGGTTGTGGTGGTCGTCGTCGTCGGTCTCGTCGTCGTCGTCGCTACCGCCGCCGCCGATGTCGTCATCGTCGTCGTCGTCGTCGTCGTCGTTGTCGTCGTCGTCGTCGTCGTCGTCGTCGTCGTCGTTGTCGTTCGTCATCGTCGCCTTCGTCGTCGTCGCCGTCGTAGCCGTCGCCGCCGCCGCCGTCGCTGTCGCGGTGAAATTTTGGACGGGGGGTGAGAGAGCGAGAGAGAGAGAGCGACAGAGACGGATAGGGAGACAGAGAGCGAAACATGAGAAAGATAATGAGAGAGAGAGAGAGAGAGCGAGATAGAGGCAGAGACATAACTAGAGAGAGGAGAAGCGAGCCCCCCGAATGTCCCAGCCTTCCCCGACTATCTCATTCTCCTCCATGCGCCAGTACCCGCGCCCGCCGCCCCTCCCTTTAATCGAGCGAGTATCAACTTTTCAGCGCCTCGGGACAGGCGTTCCTCATGGCGGAAAATGTATACTTGCAACCCTGCTGTGCAGTTGGATCCTCGTGTTCACTTCGCAGCGCCCCGCTTCTCCGTCCGCATGCCCATGTCGGCACACCACTCACACGCCCCGCGCCCCCGCAGGGATCTCCACGTCATTAAACCTCCAGTCGGGGTGTTGCGCATGCCGCCCCGCGCATCTTTCGGCACACCCCTCACGGGTAGACCACCTACAGCCCCACTGGGGGTGTTTCGCAGACGCCTCGCTCATATGTCGGCACATTCACAAACACAACACAGTACACAGTACACACAACACACAGCACACAACACACACAACACACAACACACAACACAAACAACACAAACAACACACACACACCCTCACACACACCCACACCACACACACGCACGCACGCACACATATACACACCTCACACCCGCACACCCCCAACCCCCCACACCCCCACATCCACACACCCATACACCCAGACACGCACACCCACACCCACACACACACACTTTTAAGTCTGCGGCGCAGAGGGGCCTCAGGCGCGGTCGACAGGTGGAGGTGCCAATTGCGAACGAGCCTAGTCGAACGCGCCATGATGAAAGAATCCAGCCACGGCCATGCAGGTTGGTGGTGGAAAGAAAAGTGAGGCGCTGCAAAGCAAGGATGCAGTGGCCGACGAACCCGCGGAGCGAAAATCCAACGCAAGAAGTTGAAGCGCAAGCAGCAGTCTGGTGCTAGAGCCTCGAGAGGCGACAAGCGAGCTGTAAGGCTGCCAAACCTGCCAGCTTGGGGGCGACGCAAAGCACGCGAAGCTGCGCGACAAGGCGACGCCACCAGCCTTGCAACAAGCACGACAAGAGCGTCGTGCAACGGATTGCGAGAAATCGGCGTGGTAAAGATGAACACGCGGCCGAGGCTGACATAGCCCCGGGCAACAAAAGACAGCTGAACGCGGGCGACCGCGAGCAGCAATCGCTCCACGCGGCGGCGCACCTGGG